AATGAACAGAGGATGCTACTACTTCACTACTCTGGCTGCTTCTTACTGCTCTGACTGTTCACCTAGGTAGCAACATCTGACTAAACCCACAACACAGCTTTGAAAAACTAAGTGTAAGGAAGTGCTTAAACCATTTTGAGTATGCTCCTAGTCACACTGGAGCATTTTTTCCTTTCCTGATTAAAAAAACAATTCAGAACAAACAGCCCTTATGGTATTATTGGTATCCATAGATCAGGGGTTTTGGCACAGTGATACTGAAAATTAAATTTATTTTTGACACAATATCAACTGCACAACTGTTCCTAATTTAGAAAGACAGCAAAGGAATTTCAGAATTTCACTTTGTGTATGATGACAAAGAGAAATCTTGCACTGTATCACAATGTTAACATATTAACTCACATTGTCATAACAGAATGGAAAGAGGGTAGATTAAGACTGGATGTAAGTAAAAAAATTCTTCACGGAGAGGGTGGTGAGGCATGGGAACAGGCTGCCCAGAGAAGCTGTGGATGCCCCATCCCTGGAAGTGTTCAAGGCCAGGCTGGATGAGGCTTTGAGCAACCTGGTCTAGTGGAAGACCCCACCTGCAGTACTGCGTCCAGCTGTGGAGCCCTCAATATCAGAAGGATATTGACCACTTGGAGCGAGTCCAGAGGAGGGCCACGAAGATGATCAGAGGGCTGGAGCACCTCTGCTATGACGAAAGGCTGCGAGAACTGGGCTTGTTCAGCCTGGACAAGAGGAGGCTCCGAGGAGACCTCATTGCAGCTTTCCAGTATCTGAAGGGGGCCTACAAGGGTACTGGGAGAGGACTTTTTATAAGAGCCTGTAGTGATAGGACAAGGGGTAATGGGTATAAATTAAAATCAGGGAGGTTTAGATTAGATGTCAGGAAGAAATTCTTCACAGAGAGGGTGGTGAGGCACGGGAACAGGTTGCCCAGAGATGTTGTGGATGCCCCATCCCTGGATGTCTTCAAGGCCAGGCTGGATGTGGCTTTGAGCAACCTGGTCTAGTGGAAGGTGTCCCTGCCCATTGCAGGGGGGTTGGAACTAGATGGTCTTTAAGGTCCCTTCCAACCCAAACCATTCTGTGATTTGTATGGAAGATAAAATACTATTTATAGTAAGACTAAACACCAGTAACTTCATAATCCAGCTATTCCTGATTGATATAATTGACAGATAACTTCACCAGTCACTGAAACAAGAAAACGTGTAAATGTGTACCTTATTCCTGGTTCTTACAGGGAAAAGATGGACCAAAACCAGTATATAATGATTACAGTAATTCACAAATGAAACATGAGTGAATGATGTTGTTGCAAATGTTGTAAACACCATACTGGTATAAATAAACAGAATAACAGTCTGCAAAACACATCAATCCTTCTGCTGTATTCCACTTCATTAGATCTAACCTAATGAAGGTATTTAAAAAAAAAAAAATCCCCAAAACCCACATCACCAAACATGCAGAGAAGTGGAAAACTCTGCCTGTTCCCCCCAAAAATTAGGTTAGTAGTTGAAAGAGACTCAGAAGATAGCATACAGGTTTTAGCTATGTAGAACACAGCAGGAAAATAGTCTAACACTCATTATGCACAGAATAAGATTCAGAAAGCAAAATTCATCTTAGATATAAAGAAGAGCTCTCTTGTAGTAAGCACAGTGAAGCACCAGAAGAAACCGGTTGTAAAACTTGACAAGTTGTAGAACCTGCATCACCAGAGGATTTTTAAATTTTGGCTCTCTTTAAAACGTAGGGTATGGTATCGATCCTCTCGCAGGGAAAGGGAGCAGCTTGGATGTCTTTTTGAACTCCCACTGATTTCACAATTATTATTTTAGATTCCATTTCAATAAATGGTATGGACCTTCAATACAAACAGCTGAACAAACCAAAACTGTTCTGTAATTAAAGCTCTGTATTTTGAAGAGGCAACTATAGAAAATGCAAGTGAACTAGTAATGAAATCTCAAGGTGCTGAATAAGAGAAGACTAATTCTTTCAAACTATGGTGGAAAACACATTTATATCTTGAATCTCTAGACATCAAAAACTCTTTCTTTTATAGAAGAGCACTCCAAGATGAATAAGGTCTAAAGCTGCTATTAAGAATAAACAGAAGCAACAAGAAAGAAAAAGAACTGGTCTTTAAAAATTCAGGAAAAATGGCAATAAAAGATAGAATCAACAAAAGCTCATGCAATTCAGGCTTTGAGAAACAACATCCCTAAACAAACCAAAAAACCTACCCAAACCAAAATTGTAACAACAGTAGGTAAGTGGTTTATTCACATAAAAAATTAAGGAGTCTGAAAATACCAAAGATGTACAAAACCTACATTAAAATTTTGCCACCAGTTTTGAAAAAAGCAATGATGCCGATCACAGATCAAGGACAGAATGGCTTGTGAATGGTGGCACGGAAACAAAACTTTGGCCTCCAAGAGTAAATAAACATGAGCTTCATGCTATGAACGGGGGGGTGTCACTAAATTTTCATTTCAGAACTGCAACAAAATTAGCATATGAAAATTATTTCAATGCTAGAATTTTACATTAAGTGTATCAAATCGGTGACATATATTACTAGAAAACAGAACACTGGTATCTATAAATGAAAAGGTGACCCAAATAGCCACATGCAACTATTCTCAAGTTCTGCATGCATTTTAGAGCAATAGAAAGGTGTCCTCCTCCCAAAACACATCTGAAAAATGGGAAAGAATTGTACACAGGTTTACCAGACTCACCCTGCTTAGTCTCTTTGAAGAAAATCCATTTTCAAAGGAAAACTAACATATCTAATTTAACTGGCCTGTACTCCTGCTGCAGCCCCAAGACGGAAATCACTGGCTGGCTGAAGAAGATGAGACAGTAACTTCTGAACAGTTAAGAAAAAAAATGCACCATGCTGAAAGACAAACTGTCCTAGAGAACAGATGGTCTTAGCAGAGTTCTTAAAATTCCTTGAGAATTACTCCGAAAACTAATTTTATTAAACTTTCCCCAATTAGCAGCGAGGGTCCAAGAAACATTTTCTGATTAAGGCAGAAGGTGGGAAATAAGGTGAATGGAGAAGCCAGCACATTATTTTTAGAGATAACTCATTAACCTTGAAGTCTAAAATTACAAATGAGATTAAGCAGTCCAAAACTAATGAAACCAGGAAAACTAACGTGAAACAAAATGCCACAAAACTGAGATATGAACTCCTGATTCCAAAACGACAGGAGGAAAAACCCCCTCAAACCTCAAGATTTCTACCATTACTTATCTACAAGTTAATGAAATGACACAGCTAGGAACAGGGCATAGGTGACTCAAGAAAGCATCAGCAGACAGACAGATCCAGTCTACAAGACACTGGATAGATACCATCTAAAATGCAGGTAATTTCTAGTTTCTCATAGTCAAAGATTACTTAGGAAACCTAGGAAAGACTGCACACACAGATGCAAAGAGAAAGCATCATGCAGCAGAGACCAATCCTTCCTAAAGAAAGCTAAAAGTGTCTCTGCCTTAGTTTAAAACAAAATAGAGATGTTACCACTGGTACTAAAAGCGTAGTAGAGAACATAGGGAAGGAAAATAAATATCTAGCAAATGGACATAAACCAGCCAAACACAAGTTGGAATGGAAAAATTAATAGTAAATTTTCAGTCATCACAGATCGAGGGTCTGAAACACACCCTGAACAGTAGTGAAAGGGGAAGAACCACCCTCAGGTTTCAAAATGAAGTCCCATAAACTTGCAATCCTTAAAGTCATGGTGGTCTGCAGTAGCAGGGGATTGGATGTGATCACCCATGAAGCCTCTTCTACTCATGCGCTTGGGTTAGGCAAGAGATATCCACACAGAGTGACTCGGTTTCAGCTAGCAGTAGCATCCACCGCCTAACATTTGTTTGGTACATCCACAAAATTGCACCAGACTGATGTGGGCAAACAGCGTGACCTCCTCTGGATATACAAAGGCACTCCAAAGAGCAAGCATCAGAGTGAGTCCCCTGTCTTAGAGGGATTAGGAAAGGAAATTAGAACCTCTAAAAGAAGAAACCTAAGTACAACAGGCCCAAAACCAGACTGTCTGCTTATTTGAGCAGTTTTCAGCTAGGAGGTTACACTGTTTTGATCTTCATACAAGGCTTCTCAAAGTCACATTTAAGAAGATTTTTGTTTAGTCTCTTTCCATCACCTAGCTGGTGACACAGTACAGGGTGGGGAAGGCTGCCGCAGCAGAGCAGCGATCAGAGCAGTGTCCAGTGGCAGCACCTTTTCTTCGCAGGCACCACCAGACCCACAGAGAGGAGGCAGTGGTAGTGCGTGGACAGTGCACTTTAGTGCACTGGCTTTATTCAGAATTCCCTGTCAGCCAAGCATTAGCCCACCTTCAGAAATCTTACTCTGTCAGCTTGAAAATCACTTAGCTGCACAAAACCTGTGCATCCATTACAGCATAGAAATGTTATGGTAATTGGAAGAAGGGAAAAAAATAATCTTCCTAACATTAGTTTAATCTGTATATTTAAGAGAACTTTGTAGACAATTAGTATTACTGCTTTTCTTGTGCCATCATTTTCTTCCTGATAAAAAGTCTCTCTTCAATGTTAATAGTTGAACGTAAGTTTTAATTGGCTTTTCTTCTAGATATTGTACACATATATTTTAATTAATCTATTTACTGAGGCTCATGTGTCCTTCAAACTTCAAGCGAAGATATCACTAATGGGGCAACATGCAAGAAAAGCACTTTTTTCCAAGGCACAGTCGCTTCAAAAGGAGACACATAATATATTCTTGAATTGGTTAACTCCAACACAGCATATTCCTCTTAACGGGGATCCTAACTTCATCCTTTCTTCTCTTTTCTGTTTTAGGCTACAGCCTCGTAGTTCAGAGTTGATGAGCACAAATGTGTAGGTTGAGTTTCTAGTATGCAAGCTGCTATTAAACCACAGTTAACCAATTAAAAATTTAAGCTTACCTTTCTCATCTTCAGTAATCACTTTATCCTTTGCATACTCCACATCAAAAATGTGTTGGTAAAAGCAGAGCTGAGTGTACAGGGCCTTATCAGAATA